GGAGAAGCATCGTTCAGACGCCGTTGACGATAGCAGCCATCATAACGAACACAACAACCGTTGTGAGCGTTGTTGTCGCTGTTATCGTTGTGATCGTTGTTATCGTTGTGATCGTTGTTACCGTTGTCAGTGTGATCGTCACTGTCGTTGTTATGGCCGTCTTCGTACACCCAGATCGGGCCCTTGGATCGCGCGGTTCTCCTCTCCCCCCCGTCGACTACACGTCAGAGTGGCCTGTCGCTGGAGTGACCTTTGGTGCGGGCCCACTGGGGCCCCCAATTGCCGCACGCGATGCGGTAGTGGCATCTTGCGCGCTCGCTTGTGCGGGCGAAGGGTCTCATGTTCTCGAAGGGTGCTCTATTTGTCCCAGGTCCCGCCGTGGCAGCGCCCTGCGCGCCTGTGCCTGGCCCCCCCGTGGCCCGCGCAGCGCCGCGCACCAGCCTGCCACTCTTGCCCAGGGCCGCTCCTGCGTGTGTGGCCGACCCCTTAGGCTTGTTGCCTCCGTCTGCCCTTTTTCCCCAATTTGTTCTGCATGTTGCACGTGCGGTCGGCTGTCGACAGTGACAGCTGGGTTCGCAAATTATCTGGCTCTGTGCCCCGGTCAGCCCGATTGACACGCCCTCTGGACTCTTCTTTGCGGGCCGCAGATCAAAAAAAAAGTGTGGCCGACCCCCCCCTCCCCTCGGAACGTCGTTGGAGCCCCCGGCCCGCCGAAGGCCTGGCGGGACCCTGGCGGCGTCGCAGCGGGTGATCCTGGCCAGGATCGGTGCTGGCTCGCGGCGGCGCCAGGTCCCCCGGGGTGATCCTGGCCAGGATCGGTGTTGGTGTATGGCCGGTGCCTCCCCCCCCGCCCTTCTCCTCGGAACGTCGTTGGAGCCCCTGCAGGCCCGCCGAAGGCCTCCCGGGGAGGTCTGCTGTCCAAATTAGATCGGCACAACTTCTATATTGTTCGAGTCATTCTCAAAAGTGCTGTCGGTTTTCTGCACCTAACTCGGGCCTGTAGGGGGGCGGCAGGGCTGGTGACAGAAGTCGATTCGAAGACATCAGACGCGTCCACCTGTCGCATTCAGAGGTCGCGGGCCAGGGGCTCCGCCTCGCCGCCCCCTATCCTCGGGCGAAAACGCGCGCACCGCGCGCTGCCGGGGTCGAGCCGCGGCGGGGGGCGCGCCCCTGTGGCTCGCCCAGAGAGGGAGGCCCCCCCGAAGAGAAGGGTCGGAGAGCTTTTTGTTCGGAGGGCACCAACTACCCAGACCCCCTCGAGTAATGAAAAAATCATGACGGGAGGTTTTTCGCCATTTTCGGCCTCTGGGGGCCCTCACCGGGCTTCGGGAGCGTCAAAAAACGACTCAGGATGACAAACCGGTCCTGGGGAAGGGGTCGAGAATTCTGGAGTCGACGTAATGAAAAAATCATTACGTCGGGGGTCTGGGTATACACCAACACCGATCCTGGCCCAGGATCACCCCGGGCCCAGGATCGGTGTATACACCTTCTTGCGCAGGGCAGGAGGGCGTATACACCGATCCTGGGCCCAGGGTGCTCCTGGCCAGGATCGGTGTTGGTGTATGGTTGGTGCCTTCCTATTTTATGCGGTCGGCACGGCGTGCTCTCAGAGCAGTTCTGGCCGAGGCCGTCTTGTCTGGACGCATCGGCTCGATGCCCTCGGAGCATTGCCTTCGTCACTCGAACCTTCCCGGGCCTCCGGCGATTTCTGAGCGGCGTCGACCCCCAGAGGTCTCGACCCGTTCCCCGGGACCGGTTGTTCCTCCTGACTCGTGTTTTGGCCGCGCCGAGGCCCAGCGAGGGCCCCTGGAGGCCGACAATATAGAAACACCTCCCGTCGTGATTTTCTCATGACTCGAGTCTGGGCTCCTTGTGTTCTGCGAACCTTCCGCAGTATAGGCCTACAGGAATGCCGGGGCGGCCGGTCCCTGCTCGGCTGCCGCTCGCCCGGCGACCGGCCGCCCTCCTTGGTGAGTAGCCGCGACGCCCGCCGACGCGCCTCCTTCCCTCTGCTCGAGTAATTACGCGTACGAGTGAGCCTTCGCCGGGGTGACCTCTGGTGCGGGCGCATTTGGGTCCCCCCGATCGCTGGGCGCGATGCGATAGTGGCTGCTCGCGCGCTTGGCTTTGGCCACGTTGCGCCCCCTTAGTCGGGGGCGGAAAAGAGGGGGGTGATGACTAGGGGGGGGGGGATATCATGGCGGGGGCCATGATATTTCCCCAGATTTTATAGCGCCTCTTCTTATTTCATTACGTCCCTGGCCCCCCCGCTGGGCCGCGCACATGCCGCCGGTCATGATTTGCACCCCCCCTTCTTGGACACCCCCCTCTTTGCCGCTCCCGACTTAGTCCGCGCATCAAAGGTCACTCTTATCCAGGGTCACTCTTGCGTATCGCCGATCTGCGGCCTCAGACACACCGCCGCGCCGCAAGCACGAGATCCAAACAACCCGTGGCGGGAGGCCCTTCTCTTGGCCACGTTCGGCCTCCGGGGCGG